GGAAATCAACTTCTTGCGCAGAGTAGTCGGCACTTTGACAATGCATTGTAGCTGGGAGGCACCATCACCCCCACAAGGGTTGCGATTCACACGAAACCCATAAAACTGGGCGGACTCAACTGCGGAAGCTCCCAGCAGTTCAATGGCCTTCTCACGAAAGTGGATCAAAGGCTGCTGTTGCACGAATGCAATGAGGGACTTATCTGCACATCGAGAGTCGAGCTCAAAAACCAGCTCCGACACAAGAGGCGTTGTGAAGGAGCAAGTTGGCTTAGGGAGGGCGAATTTGACGTCCCCTTCCAACAGCAAATACTGAACCAACCTCTTGTAATTGGACTTTTGCTTCGGATCTTCAAGTACAACCTCATAGGGTCCGTATACCCTCGAAGCCAGGGGTCCATAAATGGCAACATCAGCAGCGGGCGTGACAATGATGGAAGGTGCCGGAGGCTGTGTTTTCATAATGTCCGCAATAGCACCTTTGGAGGCGAGGATGACACCCCCCCGGCTCTTTGAAGCCTGCAAACGATGGATTTGCGGGATGGCCTTGTTTGCAGAGTCAACAAATGGATGTCCCGCCTGCAATTTGAGGTCTTCCCATTTGGACGATTGCCTAATCGCTTGTGCCCAAGGGTCGTGAAGCGAAAGGGGGTCAACTGGACCAGCAGGCGAAGGGGCGGGAGACATTGTAGCATCCCCGTCTTGGGCCCCAGCCGACATATATTCCGCTGGTCCTGGTTTGGACAAAATGCGATGCAGGAAACTGGCACGCACCGAGAAGGCAAGTTTCCGAAGACTCGTGTCATCTGCGTTGTCTGCCCAGGCCGCATTTGCGTGATCTAAAATCAGTGCGAGGACCTGACTGAACTGCGACTCAGACAGTGCCTGTGTCATCTGAGCGGCAACGGCAGGGATAGGGATGCTGTAACGATCGAACAGTCTTTTGATCAGGGACCAACCGCACATCCCCTCTGGCGTACTGATGTCACTGGCAACAAAGGTGACATTGCTCTCATGTGCTCCAAACAGCCTGCCAAAAGCAGCTGCGATGACCTGCGGGTCTGCATCATTGGGAAGGGAGTTGGTGAAAAGGACAAAAAGGGTTTGTCCTTGAGCAAATACATCGCACTGGACCCAGTGTCGGCCAATCCGCAATGGGACAACAAAGTCGGTAAACCCTGCCAGGGCCCTGCCAGAGGTGTCTGCACACCTGTGATCGAACGAAAGGAAGTAGTGTGTGCATCCCAGACCAAAGGTGTAATGATCAACGTATGCGAGACATACAGCCTGACCACATCGAGAGCGAAATCAATCTCATCACTCGCAGCCCATGTCGGCTCGCTTCGAAAGTCCTCAAGGCGACGATTGATATAATCGATCAGGCGGCGAGGAGTTTCTCCAGAAAAGGGCGAGAGTGTGGCTGCGCGGGCCTCGGGGTTGATCTCGATGGAGTGGACATTTGTCGACAGAGGCATGGTGACAGCCGATGAGACAGCAGTCGTAGACCTTGCGAGGTACGCCAAAAACCTGGTACGGCATTGGGTGGCGAAGCGAAAGAGGCTCTGGTCGGCCCCTGAAGCGTGCCATTCCTCTTGGCTGGACTCGACGGCGATTTGAATGGCCTGAAGCTTAGTCGGCGGAACTGGTGTCATATCAACAGGTTCCTGCCAGTCTTCGAACGGGAGCATTGCACTCCATCGTTTCAACAACACCCACCCACAGAGATTGTAGGTCTGTTCCGGCCAGACCTCCGTAACTGTGATCATTGCTGGACTGACATCGAAGATCCGAGAAAGGATCTGGTGCAATCGAACCTGCAATTCGGCTGGGACTTGGACAAAGAGGACCTGGACAACTTCGGCAAGTCGAATCACCTCAATTCCGGCCCAATGATTATCGATCAGGATCGGAAGTATCGAGATGGAGTTGTTCGGAAACCCGACCTGTTGGCCATCACAAGTGACAAGCTCATTGATGCGAGAATCCCAAAACACCGGTGTCAGGAACTGAATGCGTGGCGTCGACCAGTTAAAGATCGAGGTGATGTGCCAGATCTCGTCTGAGGCGGCCCACCCTTTTGTGTTACAGGCAAACTCACACCTATCAGCAAATGTAGCTCCTGGAAGGAGGACATGTCGCTTCTTGCATACGTCATGGACACCTCCTGCACGAACAGGCTCTGACAGAGTGACAAGGACGTCCCCATCCTGGGGGTTGCACGGATGCTGGATAGGTAGGCCATTATGCAAATGACACCAGTCCTTGGCTGAAGATCCTGGAACGACTCGAAAGTCCGAAGTGCCATCCGGACGTGGAGACTCAAACAGGACCGTGGTGGTTCCTTCAAACCCCGTTTGTTCCAGGCTGCGAATGATAAAGCCCTGGGTGTCAGTTCGCCAACGAAAGTGCTTGTGGAGTGGGATCACAACAGCCTTCTCGAAAGGGACAAGTCGGTCAAAGGCAGTCCTGATACGCGTGGCAAAATGCTCTTCTGTGCCATCAAAGGGCGTAAAGGCCCAGAGGTTCTTTTCTGCCCAAATCACAAATGTGCTCCCTGGGTACGAAGTAATGCAATTGAGGTTCTCAAGATTTTCAATCGCTTGGGCGAACATCAAATCCTCTGGATCAAACGGCCCAAACGGCAGCGCAGAGCCTTGATGGACAGTGGGGATCCCATACAGGTTTGCTGGCTCGTCAACACTGGCTGGCCTCAAAGGTCGTTCACAAGCCCGAATCGTGCACAGAAAGTAACCTCCAAGGTAAAGGTCAAAGTCTTTTTCAACAGCCAGGAATTCACACACAAAATCGGTAGGACGTGGCTGTTTGGTGAAGTGCTCAACACGAATCTGCATCATCAGGTGCAATGGCAAACGAAACAGCATCGTACCAAGTTCCCGGAAACTCTGGTGCTGGCCGACTTCGATGAGGAAGGTTTCCTCAAGAAACACAACCTTGGCGTTTGGGCAGTCGACCTGCAACCTTGGTTTCGGGAGCATGTGCACAAACTGAACAATGTTCCGAATCCAAACATGGTCGTTTTCAACGAGCACAACCGTGACATCTGCATGGATACGGCTCAGCCAGCACTTGCGGAGGCACTCTTGAATTGGCAATCGTTGCTTCGTGATCGATGAGAGCATGTGATCAAAAGACAGATCAAGGCATGTGGCACACTGATAGCATTGCCAATTTGATGAAATGCTTTGCTCAGGTCAAGAGGGATAGCAACGTCTGTGACCGTGCCGAGTAAAGCAACAAACCGCACAGGATCGAGGAAGAAGAAGTCACCATTCTTTTCAATCACACTTGCGAAAATGCCTCTGCGTTCCAAGTGGCTCCTATCAAGGTTATAGCTGCTGAGTATAGGACGAGCACAATGTCGCAAGGGGTTCCTGAGGTAGTGGAATGCGAGCACGAATCACCTGAAGGGCTGTCACCGATGGGTTGACTTTGGCTCGTTTCCCCGGTGGCAACAATTGCAGTTCACCGTAAAGCAAGAAATGATCCGGAGACAGCTTCAGCTGGACTTGAATCTCTCGTGGAAGCGTGAAAGAGTACCTGTCATCAGTCCAGCGAACGATCGGTGGGACCATCAGCAACAACGTAGAAACTTCCGTTGCAGGGATGTCATAACGAACCCACAGAGCAAGCCACCTGTTCCGGTAGTGATTGGAAAGGTAGTGGTAAGGCATGATCTGTTCCCAGGCCAGTTTGTAGCCAAGTTGGGTCATGAGGGCACCAAAGACATGAAAGTGATGATGAGATTTGATCTCGTCTGCACATTCAAAAATGGCCGCCACCGGTTGAATGGCGAAAATCATCTCCACACTCTCAAGAAGGGCAAAACCATGGGAGGAGTCCAAGCCTCCTCCAGTTCCTCCCTTAGACCATGACACACATGGTGGACTGAGAGTCTCAACCAAGTTGAACGGCATTCGTACAGCATGGAGCAGGGTGAAATCCGAAATGGATCCTTCCACAATGATCTTCTTCGGTGTGACCAGGTCAGGGGAAGGCTCTAACGGGGCCTTCACGACCAGCGCTGTATGGTTCATTGCACATGTCTTGACCACCGAAGGGTCCCAGTCCAGAAATACTTGCCTGTCCACCACAAAGCCGACCTCGGCAGTTTCCAACCATTCTGCTGCTTGCGACCATCCACTGAAACCACCTGAAAACAGGTGTAGCATATTCCAGTGTAGTTCGGAGGCAACTTCGGGGTAGTGCACGACAGTACCACCGCGTTGCAGCTCGAGGGTCAAGCCATCATCAGAAACCGATCTTGGAATTCCAGCAATGAAGATCTTCTCACCGGTGCAAACCAATGGGTAGCAATGGTTGAGCCCGGGCACATGAACACTTGCATCAGCCGTCAAAAGGCCCTCCCAATGAAGGCCGATACGATGGTGCAGTGAGCACAGCGAGCCATGGATCCAGTCTTGTGAGACCTTATCAACCAGCATCGCCACCATCGTGCGTTGACCAACTTTCCAGCTAGTGGCTTCATGCGGAAACTTCTGAAAAACCTCGAGGACTCGCCTGTCCAGGTCATGGTCCCTCAGTGAAGGACCCCATGGGAAGTCCGCCATGAACTACGAGCACAAGGAAACTCAAGGTCCTAGAGATCTATGGAACACGGCTGGCCACAAGGGGATGTGATCCTTCTTGGACACCAAACCCCTCCTTGCGGCGGCAGCCTGGTCCCGGGGGCCTAGAACACTCCCTGAGGCTAAGGCAGCTTGAGCCCGAAGCCTACTAGGGGCTCCTGGCATCGCTACTAGGAGCAAAGGACGCTACTAGGGGCTCCTGGCATCGCTACTAGGAGCAAAGGACGCTATTAGGGG